GATCGGAAGTGATGTCATAAAAACGCTTAAAAACCTATCAAGATCGATTGATAAGCTATTACATATGAAAATTTCACGTTAATCGGCCATGCCGTTTCCAAGAAATCGCGTGCACAAAATCGGTTGGAAAAAAAAATAATAATAATAGGGAAAAAGAAACCGAAGAATAACAAGAAGGTCTTCCGTTGGAGACGGAAGACCTTAATAAGAAACAGTAGAATCACTATAAGGTCTTCCGTGAAGATGGAAGACCTTAATTATAAGAAACAGAGGAAAAACAATATGTTCCCCAACTTCGTTTTGGGAACATAATAAACAATATATCATGTGTCCAGACAATTGTCAACAATATACGTTTGGCGTTGTGTAAAATACTTGCATTTTGCCATCAGGAAAATTGCCATGAACACAGGTAAACAAAAAAATTTTACTTATGTTAACATGTAAAAAAAACTAGATTTTGGAATATTTTCAATATAGATAACTTTATGAAAAACATTGTACATAACAGATAATTTATTTGGAATGCTGAATTAAAAAAAAAAAAAAGTTTTGCACTAGTAATAAAAGCACAGGTAAACAATAATCACATTGCATCATGGCATCTCTGTTTTCATAATTCATTGATAAATAATCCTTATTTCAAATTGATTTAGGAAAACAAAAATAATTTAAATATATCATATATCATACATCATTGGATTCATAATAATTTATACTTTCTATATACATTGAAATAAATTAGATAATTATCAACTGTATTGAGTACAGTATTGCAGGTGTAAACAGGTAAACATTTTTTAAAATGACTTTGGGACACATGAAGCAGAATCACAGACTTGTAATCAGGTTATTGTTTTGCAAAATTAAATATTATGCAAAAAAAAAAAATAATAATAATAATTAAGTTGACTTTGACACTTTGGCACATCAATTAATCAAAACACATTTTGTAGAATTTATCCCTGAAGATCGGTATCTTTAGAAATTTGCACTAAAACATAGACACTAGTTATGGCATTGCATTAGAAAATAAATATGATAATAAATAATAAATAAAACTTGAACATACCAGTATTTACATGAATGCACAAACACAAATCACAGGTGATCACAGGTGTTCACAGGTAACACAAATACACATCCAATTTTCATGGATTTCACTGATCAGATCATTGATTCACATTAGAAACACTTTAGTGTTTGTCCAGAAAGCACTGTTCACACATGTGAATGTTGCACACAGCACATCCTTTGACGACTTCCTTGCGGATACCTTTGGAGTAGCAGATCTTGCAGCGTCGGCGCAGGCCATCCATACGAACATGCACGTGGGGCATCTGATTGTCATTCACATCAAAGGGGACTAAAATCTCTCGAATGCACAGTCTCTTGCGTCCACAGAAGTTTCCAATGAGGGACTCGGCAAGTTCCACAACAAAGTCATAATGGGTGTATCTCTTCCTACGGAGAACTCGGGTTGAGGATTCCTTGAATAATATGTAAGCGTTCACTCGAGCACAGTTCAGAATAAACCACAGAATGTACTTCCAGTACTTCTTGCTGGGTCTGCCACAAGCGTACTTCTTCCGCATTTGGTCATGAAGATCCACACCATTCATGTACTGGTTATAATCGGAGATCGCCTTTGGTTGAGGAATCATCTAACAGGCACGGCCAATCTGTCTCTCACATCTCACGGGGTCACTGGAGCTGTTGTTGTGTAGAACGAGCACAACGTTGTTATCGTTCCAAGTTGTGACAGATAGCGATCCTTTTTGGTAGGACACAGAGTCTCCACGCTGTGGGATCTGTCTCTTGATCACTAACTTCTTTTGCCGCAGCTGGTTTGGAATGTCCTTACGGTTTGAATTTACTGTCCCGCAGGTGTAAATGTCCTCTTCAAGCAGATCGTTAGCCAGCTGAACACCAGTGAAGAAACGGTCATGGTACACATGATGATTGAGGCCAACAATGTCACGGGTTAGGTCGTGCACTACTCTGTATCCCAGGCCATGCTGTTGTTGGATGGGGGTTCTGTCTCGCCTGCCTGTGTTGAGATGGTATTGGCTCATGTAGGATGATCTGCCATCACACCTGGCCCAAAACTTCAGACCAAACTTCTCCGGCTTATCTGGCATGTATTGTCTAAGCTCAGACCGTCCCTTGTACCCCTTCATTGCCTCGTCGATGGAAATTTCCGTGGAGTGTTGGTAAAACTTCCTAAAAGTGTCTGCTGTGTCACTGTATGCAATGGCTTCACCTTGTTGATGGGGTGATAGGTGGGCGCATCATGTGGTTCCCGTGCCGCCACTGAATTTACGTGTAAATACTGGGCCAGCTTCTCATACCTGTTGAGGGTCATGGTGTTCTTGAAACCCTGGGAACCCACAAAGTCGTTGTCTCGCCAGTAGTCGTCGTAACCATGTCGTGGACTCGCACCCATCATGATGTTCAAGCCGACGAAAGCGCGGATCTCAGGGCCAGAAGTTGTCGTCCACATCTGGTCGGTCTCCCCCTTTTCCTGCTGGATAAGAGCAGCATAACTGTTGGTTTCCCGTGCAATGTGGTCATAAATGTCCATGGGAATCAACAGCTGAAAATAATCCAGTGGTCCCGCAGTGTCTGTGTCGAAATCACGTGGAAGCCGATGTCCGGCAGGTAGGACACACCTGGGCGCACTATCGTCGGTCCCGTGGGCCAAATGCTGCCAATTATCCGGTGCTAGGTCATCATCGGAACTAAGGACATCGTCACTGCTGAATCCCGAAAACTCGGAACCAGAACTAGCCTCCAGAATAGCCATAACACGGTCGTAATCCAAATCACTGTCCGCCATTTTCTCCGTCTTCTTGTTGATTTGAATCAGGTGCGCGATCCCACAATTCCCTTCTATTTCCAGGTAAATCACGTGACTTTTCGGTATAGAAACATTACATCATCTTCTGTTTACCTATACAGGTGGTCAACAGACCGATGTTTATAGTAAACATCCCCTTTTTTACAGGTCTAATTAACAGCTGTATATACATGCGTCAAAAGTCGTCATTAAGGGTACGGCGCTAGGCGTCAAAAGTCGTCATTAAGGGGTAAAGGATTGAATGGTCTAAGGGGAAAAGAGTTAACAAATAATGTATCTCTATAGGGGGGTCTTAACTGCAAATAATGCTGTATTGTTGCTGTTGGACAAAATTGTATGTCAAGAAATTTTTGACTTTGCAGAAATGAATTTTTGCCTATTTGATCTGCTCTAGATCTATTTATTTCATTATTATTTATTTTTTAGTGTTGTGAAGTGTTCTTGGAATACTGACCTAAATTAGCATGTGCATATTCTTGTAGCTGTGGTGTATAGTTGAGATTTGATTGGTTGTTGCCATACATAAGCCAGAAATCACTGTGGATTTCCCCCCACGACATTGTTGGGTTTGATACTCTTCGTAGTCTAAATTGTTCGTCGTACTTATACCAATTATATGAACGACTGGTGCCAGGCGAATGTCTTGCAAATATTTTAGCATTTCATGGGCTTTTGCCTCACTGTGTTCAAAAACGATACTCATGTAAATCATAAAAGCTGTCATCCACTTTTCGATGCTTAACTGCGAGTTCTGTTTTCGCTTAACAAAACACAACCGGCCATTTTTTAAATGGACTTTACCTTGTGAATCAAATTCATCTAGTTCCATGGTGGATTTTAGTAAGAGAGAAAGATCTATGAATTGTCCCTCCAATATTTTCAATTTAAGTTTACCGGTATGTGGTACATGAGAAGCTATACTGTCCGCTGAGCAAGGAAGCTGATGTGGTAAATCTACCATGTGAATGATTGATTCACCCAGGGGTCGGTTGTTGGGATTCGTCTCAAATGTAAATATAAAAAATAAACAACACTGTTAAAAAGTTCACTGGGAAATGAACTTTTATTTGATCACATGACCAACTAAAAGTCCATTTCCCAGAAAACTTATTAACATTGCTATTTATTACTTAATCATATACAACAGTGATGTGATGGATATCATAGCATATATTTTATTTTCTTCACTCGTCTGTTGCTACAATGAGCTACAAACAGATTGTCATTTGTATCTATACACAGTCCCCAGGGTTTACTCAGTCTACAGTCGATGTAACGGAGGAACTGTCCGTCCTGGTCTATAATGTGGACACAGTCATTGTTATAATCAGCTGTAAGGATGTGACTCTGACTATCTGTGGTGATTCCTATTGGACGGAATGCTTGGTTTTTTAGAGCAGGAGTATGTCCAGTGTACCTATATCTCAGTTTCCCGGCCTGATTGACCACCACTACTGCTCCAGCTCTATAGTCAGCCACACAGATATCCAGGTTCTTGTTCTCAGAAATGAGTCTACCAGATAAATACAGGTGTTTACCTTTATCATCAAACTGAATGCTTTGTTTCTCTGTGGAGCCAGAATAACGGACAACTTTTGATTGTCTGTCACCATCACTGACCATGATAACCAGGAGATCACCAGAGGAGGTACTACAGACATCTTTAGGTCTCCAGTTCTGTAGTCTGATCACCTCCTCTATCTTCTCATTCTTCACAATGCTCACAGTTCTATCATTGTAATCAGTATAAACTAGATCTCCACTTTTTGTCACTGCTATATCACATGGCCAGTTCCCTGACTTGGTTGTGATTGACTTGAGTAGTGATCCCTGATTGATGCTGTAGAGATTCATGGTGTTGTTATTTCCAGTTGTACAGATTTCTTTATCATTTATACATGCCACATAGAAAAGTCGTCCATACCCAGTGTCTATGGTGGTGACAGTCTCTGGTTCATCAAGCAGCTGTTTGACTTGAGGAGAGGATCCAGCTTCTGGTGATTTCTGTATTGTCTTCATGCTGTAGCCATGTTTATCAGAGGCTAAAGAACTTGTTGACAAGTCTCCAAACATTTTATAAAGTTCTTCTCCTTGTATTTTTTCTGGAATAAATTTAGGTAAAGATGGTATTATTTTGTGTGGAATATTTCTGTATGTGTGTACTTTGGACATGACACTTAATAGTTTAGACACGTCATTGGTGTCTATTACAGTTTCCATTGAATTGATTTCATCCTTGATGTCAGACATTGTCTTCTTTAGTTCATCCAGATGTTTCTGTAGAGTTTGTAACTGTGTGTTTTTCATCTCATCAACTTCAGCTTTAAGTTTGTTGACAAGTTTGTTAATTTCTCTGTGCCATTTCTCTCCATGTTTTGTTATGGTTGTTGAGAGATCTCCATATTCCTTTTCTACCTGACTCATTCTGTTTTGTACATCAGAGGCAATGCCACGGTAGGTGGGATAAATTGTTTCATCTAATTCATTTCTTTCTTTTGTGATACTTTCTTTCTTTTCATCCAGAACTCGCAAGATGTTAGATAATTCATGACCTAAATGTAGATTAAAATCAATGCAATTGATGCAAACAGGAATGTCGCACTGTTTACAGTACATTTGACATCGTTCTTTGCTATGAGATTTACATTTAGGGTAGAGGGGAGTGGATTTTCTGTCCTTGAAGTCAACAATTTTATGAGGTTTTGAGAGATCAGCAGAAAAGTGTTCTCCCACGCAGGCCTTACACAGGTTGACAAGACATGTATCACAGTGCATCTGTACCACAGCTGTCTCACACAGGTCACATCGCTTAACATCCTGGGCACTGGTACGGGGGTCCATCTTAAGATTTTGTGACTGAAGCATAAAAAATCAATATATTTTTATTGACTGGGTGTGAGGGTAGCATATATTTTTTGGAATCCAGAACCACAATTTGCCTGAAACCATGGGTAAAAAAAAACATGTAGACAAACAAAACTTTTTGTTAATCCTGATTTCATAAATATCAATGATGAGAATTTTACTCTAAATACTAAATTCAAAATTTGAATATTATTTTATATATCTGCAGCTTGTGGGCTTTCTGCATGCTAAGTTCACCCATCTCCCTCTGCCCATCTCCTTTAGCAATTTCTTTCTAAGAACTGGTATTTTATTTTTAGGGAGAAGCAATTTTAGTGATTTAAAGAGTGCTTACTAAAGAAACTATTACAAATAATATGCAATTAATCTTTAGCGATATTTAATTTTAGCGATGTCAGAACCATCGCTAAATATTCTACTTATACGGTATTATACATTTATTGCATGATAGTGAGGGAAACATGGACTTCATTGTGCCAAGAAAATCATATCAGGGCTTCGCCCGAGGGGATTTTATTTCTTAGTAAAAGCTTGTATGTTTCCTTAACATTTTGCAATGAATTGTTTATTATACCGAAACAAGCAAAACATTTGAAATAAACATAAACTTTCAAATCCGGCACCGCTCTCAAAGTCACTTTTATTTTTTATAAAGTTACTATAAAACCCTTTGGTCAACACATTGTCATCAGTTTTGTGACGTAAACCGGGCTATTGTGACATCTACTACTATCAGGAGTTTTCGTTCAACGAATGAGAACTATATTGCGGGAAAATTCACTTGGTGTTCATGGAATATGATGAAAAGAGTGCAACGGGAAATATGAAGTTTATATATCCCAATCACGTGATAACCTAGAACCAATCAGATAACGCGTTGTGTAGACTATTTATAATGAGGTATAATAATATGTATACTGTACAAGGTGCATTGAATCTTTCAGATATGATATTTTATTTCCATGGTTAAAGCCTGTACTACTAAACTTTTAATGACTCTCAACTATTATGCGCAGAAATACTTAAAATGTTTCTTACTTGACTCCAGTAATGGCTGTCCTGTTGATCGATCTCCTATCTAAATCTATACACTCTGATCACGTGACCCCCTTACATGTGTTATCTACCTGTCAGGGGTTTATACTTCCTGGTCTAGCAGGGAATGCAAGATCTATATTATACAAATCGTTTCAATTAATGTTAAAATTCACATACTGTATACAGTAAAACAGTCTTATGGCTAGCAAAGTGGTTTTTACTTTAAAATATATTGAACACTTCCTGGACATAACAAGTTATGCTTATAATGAACTTATGCTTATAATAACTGTCTGTTCTTGTCAAAATTTAAATCTGCTTTAAGGTATGGAGAAATGATCTTGGAAGGATTAATAGATATTTAACACCCCCCCCCCACCTCCTTCTCTGAGTCATAATTTTACAGGAAAATATTAAAGGGGTGTTTAATAAGATAAAAATATGAAGCAATAGAGATACAAGATATATCAAATAAAACAGTTGTTTAAACCATAACGCCTTGGACCACAATAGGTGGTCAAAGTTAAAACAAAGACAGGATCACATTTATTTTTTACATGACAAATTGAATACAGTGCTCCCCCATTATAATTCCCCCCGTTATAATGCCACCCCCGCCTACCGCCAAAAAAAGTAAAGTCCCGATTTCTTCGCTATATAATACCCCGTTTTACCGCCATCCCCCGCCTATCGCCATCCGCCAATATATTTCAGGTACAAATCTGTCCATTACCGTTATAATCACCCCCGATAATTACCGCCAATTATATCTTCAGGGAGAGAATTTCAGTGAAAAGTCTTAAGCAATCCATCATTAATCTTCCAAGTATCAAAGTTTGGAGTAGATAATAAGTTACATACATAATTATTTGAGTAAAAATCTTTTTGAAGTCTGAATATGGCTAACCTGCCGAAATCAAGGCGCATTATCTTGGAATTGAAACAAAAACTGGAAATCATTAAATATAACGAAAAAAATCTTAAGCAAGAAATTTCTAATTATTTTATAGAACTATGAAAAATTTATGTAAAAAGACGGACTGTAATGATATTCTTCAGCTCCGCTTGTTCCTACATACGTAGAGGCCAGACAGGGACTTGAATGTTTGTTACGGCATTTAGAATTAAAAGAATCAACAATATGAAATAAACTTTTTACTGCAATTAGCTATTAAAATAAAACCATCAGAACAATCAACAATTGATATGTTTTTCAAAAAACAGGGATTTTCTGACAGGCATACGTAAGCTTTGTTATTTGTTTATTTGATATAAAGCCATTAAAATCTAGAAATATATGTAGTATATTGATAATAAATTTGTTTCAATTATTTGTGCACGTCACTTCTCTCCCCCCGATATAACGCCACCCCCGTTATAATGCCAAAATAACCAAGGTACAAATGTTGGCATTATAACGGGGGATCACTGTATATCCATATGTGACATAGATTCAAGGATAAGGTTTGAGCCACAATTTGGGATCAAAGTTTTATTGTGCAGAAATATACTGGTCAGACATACACAAGAACTAAAATTCTCTATTTTATATGGTTAATACCACATCTCAATCAACAGTTAATTATACTCTCTGCAAACAAAGTGGAGGGGAGGTATATAGGAATCACCTTATCTGTCTGTGCAAACATGTCCACTTGTATATCTTTCTTACAAATGAACATCAGAATCTACTATTATACACAAAGATTGTTGATGACCTGAGGATGTGCCATGACCTTGAACCAAGGTCATTTGGGCAAGTTCAAGGTCACTGAAAGAAACATTTCATAATTCATATCCATTCTGTATCTTTCTTATAGATAAACTTGATGAGTTCCCATATTACAATAATATTGCTTTTGACCTGAGGGTTTGTCATGACCTTGACCAAAGGTCATTTGTGCTAGTATTAGTGACTTGCCACTTTCTCTAAAAAACACAGCGGAGGGTATTTGTCCATTTTGTACAGTTTAGTTTTGACTTAGTTTTTCTTTTCTAGAAATCATTTCCATTGTAGGTTGTCATGACGATAGTTTTAGCCTTCATTCTGGAGTTGTTTTTGTTCCGTATTCAGTACAGAAGGAAACTCAAATTGGAGGACATAGATGGTAAGCTAGCAAACAATGCTAAGATTACACAGTGATTTCATAGCTTAAATTGTAACATTTAACAGCTAAGCTAGCAAACAATGCTAAGATTACATAGTGATTTCATAGCTTAAATTGTAACATTTAATAGCTAAGCTAGCAAACAATGCTAAGATTACATAGTGATTTCATAGCTTAAATTGTAACATTTAATAGCTAAGCTAGCAAACAACGCTAAGATTACACAGTGATTTCATAGCTCTAATTATAACTTAGTTATTGCTATTCAGGGCTGGCATGACCTTCATATGAAACTCACACGAATATAAAGCAAAATCTATGCTTGAGAAGGAGATGTAAAGGACCATGCATGGTATTCATACAAAAATAACACGCAATCTGTACAAACTTTGCACAAATATCATTGGAAAAGGAAAACTCATGAAAATCATGGGATCCACTTTTCCCTAATACATGTAATATTTTAATATTTAATATCCCTATATTTTAAATAAAATGTTTGAATACCAATAAAATTGTGATATTTTCTTTTCAGACCATGCCAAGCAGACGGAGCATGTGTATATCAGTGATGAAGAGAAGATGATGTGTGAGAACCCGGACTACAAATGGACCGGTCGATACATAGCTCTACAGAGAGATTCCACAGAACTACAGGTGAGCTTTAATATGTTTCGCTGTCTGTAAGTTTACCTTTCTAATTTTCTGATAACACAATTACATGCATTCAGATTTAGAAGAGAAACAGCTTAAGTTGTAATACATTTTTAACATGTTAAATAATATCTTCCTGCAAAAAAAAAGATAGTAGCTGTAGTTCATGAAAAATGATTTTTAAAGGACTAAGTTTTAAAAAAAAATCAATGTTTATTCTGAATTTGTTTTTCCAGACCCCCTACATGTACAAGGGAGAGAGACACAGGAACAAAGAAGATTTTAGTCTCAGAATGTATGGCGATGAAGTCAAGGTCAGTTGGATTAAAATTCATTTAGCAAAATTGCTACTTGTGAAATATCTCTCAAGTCATTTCCCCCCAAAATTCCTAAAAATGATTTAGTCATAAACATATTATATTTACATCCATATATTTTTTTTTTCATTTATTATTTCTTATGAAGACCATCACCATTAATTAGTGCATGAACAACACTAAGCAAGCCATGTGTGTAGTTTTCTTGGACAATGGCTGTTCTATCAGTTCTACATACAATGAGATATTCATCTTAAAAACAATAGTTAACAAAGAGCAAGAACCATCTTATGCATAAAATGGCCCTGAACTTATATCAATTAATTAACCATCAACCTCTTTCCAATTTCATATATCAAAATAAAATAGACACTTGGTGCTTTCATTTTCTATAATAAAATTTTGTTTTGAGAATCCCGGTATTGGAAAACAGGTTTGAGAAATTGCAATATTCTTGAAATTTGCAGAAAACATGCATATTTGACTAGCTTCATCAAAGAATTAAAATATGAGCACAGCCCACGATCCAAAAAATAAAACGTTTTTTGATCTTCAGAAACAGAGCTTTCATTATATATTTGCATATTTAGGATCAGAGGTTGTGCTAGCTCTTGATAAAATATTGAAAAAATGCTTCAACTTTAGGTCATTTTGAAAGGAATTTACAGGATATGAGGAAAATAATACATATTATGACGTCATAATGCATTGACTAAATGGGAAATTACATCACCTTTAATAGATACCAACACTCCAAGTGATAAATACTGCATTTGCAACCTTAACTGATCAGTTTTGATTTTTCAGAAATTCTCAGGGCCAAATAAGACCCAGAGTGGCTCTTGGTCTTTAATTTTACTTTGAATGATTTTTAATACAGATATAGATCTAGATATAAACAATGAAATGCTTTTGTTGTTTGTTTGTACGGGAATTAAATTAATACCACAGCAATTTGCAGAAAAAAATCATAGAACTGTTTACATGGGTCATGTTTTTTTTTCTGCAACATTAATTCCCTTACTTACAACCAAAGAAAGCATTTTATTATTTAAATAGATAATTTAAATGTGTTCATTTAGTACACAAAACTAGGCGTATATTCTTAAAGTTAGTGAAAATGATATGATTATTAACAATTTAGGACATTTGAACAACAGTCAATATTTTCATTGGTATTTCCTGTTCAGATTTGTTTGTTTATTGTTGTTTATTTATCATTGACAGAATTGTCTGCTAATCATTTTAATTTGTTGTTGACAAAGTTGTTTATTGTTTTTGGTGTGTTGTTGTTTATTTATTGTTGACAAAGTTGTTTGTGTTTTGTTGTTTGTATTTCATTGACAGAGTTGTCTACTTATTGTTGTTTATTTGTTGATGACAGTATTGTCTGTATATAATTGTTTATTTGTTGTTTTCTAAGTTGTTTATATATTATTGACAAAGTTGTCTGTCTATGTTTGACAGAGTAAGTTGTTTATTTTTTGTTGACAGAGTTGGTTATTTATTGTTGACAGAGCTGTTTATTTATTGTTATTTATTTATCATTGACATAGTTGTCTGCTTATCGTTGTGTACTTGTTGTTGACGAAGTTCAATGTTTATTCATCATATAAGAGTTGGTTGGTTATCATTGCTTTATTTATTTTTGACCAAGTTGGTTTATTTATTGTTGACAGAGCTGTTTGTTTATCGTTGGTTATTTATGGTTGAAAGAGTTGGTTGTTTAACATTGTTTATTAATCATTGACAGAACTGTTAATTTATCATTGTTTATTTTTTGTTGAAAGAGTTGTCCATTATCATTGTTTATTCATCATTGATAGAATTGTTTATTTGTTGTTAGCTCTACTAGTCAGAGACCAGAAGAGCTTATGCGATGGAAATGCGTCCGTCGTCCATCCGTCTGTCTGTCCGTCTGTCTGTCTGTAAACAATTTTTCAAAATGCTACTCCTCCTACAGTTTTGGTCTGATTTCAATATAACTTGGCACACAAGTAGACTACACTAAGATACATAATTCTGTATATCAGTTTTTGATTTCGATGAAAGATGTTGCCGTGGTTACTAAAAATAGAAATTTCTGTAAAATTCTTTCAAAATGCTGCTCCTCCTTCAGTTTTGGTCTGATTTCAATATAACTTGGCACACAAGTAGACTACATTAAGATACATAATTCTATGTATCTGTTTTTGTTTTCAATGAACGGTGTTGCCGTGGTTACTAAAAATAGAATTTTTTGTGAAATTTTTCAAAATGCTACTTCTCCTACAGTGTTGGTCTGATTTCAATATAACTTGGCACAAAAGTAGACTACACTAAGATACATAATTCTATTTATCGGTTTTTGATTTCGATGAAAGGTGTTGCTGTGGTTACTAAAAATAGAAATTTCTGTGAAATTCTTTCACAATGCTACTCCTCCTACAGTTTTGGTGTGATTTCAATGTAACTTGGCACACAAGTAGACTACAATAAGGTACATAATTCTGTATATTGGTTTTTTACTTCAATGAACGGTGTTGCCACAGTTACTAAAAATAGAAATTTCTGTTATATACTCTCAAAATGCTACTCCAAATACAGTTTTAGTCTGATTATAATATAATGTGGCATGCAAGTAGACTACACTAAGAACATAATGAGACTTAATCAAGGATCATATTATCCTATTTATTGCTGTTGTAAAGTTTCAATTCCCAACTGCTTAAGTACTTTTCTCTTCCTTTGCTATATAATAAGTACAAACCAGTAGAGCTTCAGTCTCGACTTCAGTTCTCGAGACTTCTGGTTTTTTATTTATTTATTATTGTTTATTTATTATTGTTTATTTATTGTTGACAGAGTTGGTTGGAGGAGGAGCAGGAGAGTCGGGAGCAGACCATTCACACGATGACAGAACTACGGAGGCGGAGTCGACCTAACGCTGACCTCGAGGACCTGGACGAGGACGTCATTCCCAGCTCCTCCTTCTCCATCCCTGTAGCTGACAACGTCCAAGAGGCGGGGCTACAGACCTAAAGGGATGGGACCACAAACCTAAAAGGGTGGAGCCACAAACCTGAAAGGGCGGGGGCCAAAACCCTTATGGGGCGGGGCCACAAATTTAGATGATTTCTAGGAGAGAAATAATTTCAATGACATTGATATGGGCCACATCACATGGTGGTCTCTGATATACTTTGAATATTTGATGTTTATTTATTGAAGTTAAACCAAAGGCAAAGTTGCTCTACTGTCCCAGGATGGGGAAAGTTTTAATCATCTGTTTTTCTGTGATCAAGTTCTAATTGTGCCAAAAAGTCTTTAATACTGCCTCCTTATGTTTCATATTCAGGAGGTATTTTAGTGTGAGTGTGTAAATATTGAATGCTTTGTATTGATCAAGAGAGAGAAGTTTTCTCATATTGAGAGGAATAAGTTTATGTCTGAAAAAAGAAAAATTCATGCCTTGTGTAAGTACAGTATTCAATCCTATTTTAAGCCTGTGTTTTTAACCTATTAACAGTAATTCTGAACGAAAATGGTCATATTTGATACTATTAGGTGATGACCATTTGATTCTGATGGGGGGGGGGGGGGGCTGGCAGATGTAGGAAATAATTCTGGAGTGGAAATAAATAATCTGTCACTGACCCCCTGATTTTGAATTTTTTACTTTTTTGCATGACTGTCATGCTTTTTTCAATGAAGAAGAAATAAAAATGATCTTACTGGAAATAAATAATTTGTCCTCCATGAAAATTAATAAGACTTGAAAAAGTTCCCCACCCATATCAGAATCAAAATGGTCATCCACTTAGGCAGTCACTTAAAACAGGGAATCAGATTCTTGCAATGTTAAGCAGATACTGCTTAAAATAATATGAAATATTCCATTGATTAGTTTGATTTTTTGTGAACACCCTCTAGAGGAAATTTTGCAGTTGCATGTATCAGAAGTTTGTTATTTACAGGTAGTTGCTATGACTTGATTGATATGTAAATGATATGATATTAATGGTTTACCATTGTTACTTTAATTTCTATAATACCGGTAATTAAATTTTAAGTATGATCTGAAAAATTAAGTGACTGGTTATGTGGTTCTCAACTTCTTATTTTATATTGCCTGGTTTTCATTATTATATTAAATTTTGTTTATTGATCATCCTTTTTTTAATGTCACATGTCATGCAATTTGCAGTGAATATTTGTTTAAAAGGAATCTTCTCAGATTTTCCTAATACTGACTTAAGTTTCATTTTAACTGTTGATCAACTTTGTATGATGATGGTCTTTTTTTAGAAACAGGTGCTAGTTTTGTTCAAATGACTTTGAATATCGGTGCTTTTAAAAGTTTGTAACTCAATGTTTCAACAAATGAAAGCTTCATTTCAAAGATTTTAATTTAGAACCATTTTACATTAGTTTATCAATTCTGATTCTGGTATCCGATTCGGTATCCTGATTTCTTTTGTACTCATTTATTGTACAATCATATAACTTGTGTTCTATAGATCACATCTTCTATCTTAAATTCTCTATTTAGATTTTAATACTGATATGTAATGTTAAAGTTTATAAGCTGGGCCTTAGGAAGTTTACTGATAACCAGGCAGTATTAAGAATAATGCAGGAATCTGGATATAAACAAGTCTGTACATTTGTATTGTATATATGGGTTTAGGGCATTAACAGTTCAGACAATCAGCAAATGAAACACAGCTATGCGGGATAGAACAGGAAAACAAAAACAAAATTTAAGGAACGAATTGAATAGCAACCCAAGTTATACTGAACAATGCTGTTTTTTTTTTTTTTTTTTTAAAGCGTGAACTGCTCCAACCCAGGTTATAGCAGTATGACTTGGGTTGCTATTTGATTCATTCCTTATAATTTAATTTTCCATCATCAAGAATAGAAAACACACAATTTCTCTCTTAAAAACGTCTTCAAAATGGTCATATTTTAAAAGTAACCTCTAGCGGATTATTAGTTCTTGACATAAGTCATCATAACTTAGGAAACCCAGGTTATACAATTTAGATTTTTTTTTATCCAATCAAATGACGCGTTACAACCAAAGTTAAATTATTCTCTGGGAATAAAATAATATATTCTTTGTCTGAATTGATTTTAATTTTCTGTGATATTAGTAGAATATTTTCTTGTTTTGGTTTATTTTTAACAATGAATTACAGACTCAATTCAAGAGACAACCAGATGCTGTATTTTCCATGACTTAATCAGTAAGAGTTTATGTTTTTGTTATACGCCCGTCTTAAGACGGGACGTATTATGTTATAGGCTTCTTGTCCGTCCGTCTGTCTAGCTGTCTGTCCGTCTGTTAGCTTTCTCGTGTCCGGCTCATAATTTTAATACTATTAGGCCTAGGATTATCAAACTTTGTCAACTGATACTTCTTGGGTAGACGGTGTGTCGCACACAAAAAGTAGGTCGCTCTGACCCTTAATAAAGATGCTATAGCCAAATATGGAAAAATCCTGTCAGGCTCATAACTAGAAAACTATTAGACCTAGAGCTTTCAAACTTGGCAAATGTATACATCTAAGGTAGAGGGTGTGTCGCGGCCTATTTCAAGGTCACTGTGACCTTTAATTAAAGTGATTTTCTTTAAAAACTAAGTCTTTTAAATTCTAAATTTCATAATCCTAAAAAATGTAAAAATATAGTTATATCCTTATTCAAAAATGTTAGATTAAGTAAAAACTTATTTTTCATTATATACTTTACAGCAATCTGTAACAAATGCTAATGCTTTGAGAGGAATTCAGTTTGTCCCATGGGTATAATTATCAAGCACTGGTCAAGAAGAATTTTGATAGCAGAAATTTGCATGTCAAATTAGAAAAAAATTAATGAGTTTGTCAGGACCTAAGAGCATCTCTACATCTGATGCAGCCGTTGTCTTAATTTATCTTTTGGGAGTTGGGCAAAAAGAAATGGCCTCATAGTTGTTTGTGTTAATTAAGAGTTCTTGATGGCTAGTCCAAATAAAGATCTTTCAATTGGTGTGATTATAATTAAAACAAATTGATGTTTTAGTGTACGTATGATTAAAACTAAATTAGTTTAAGTGTATGATTAAAACTAAGTTAGTATTGTAAAGTATGATTAATTTATCATAATTAATCAAAAAATTAACTAATTATACAAGTGTTCATTGAAAAAAAAAATTATTCAAAATTTATATATTTGCAACAAATTGCAGCCATGTCTCACTTAGAATTTTATAGTCTGAAGAATAATTTATGTTTGATCTTTTTATTAGACTGTAGCATTTCCATTATTTCGTAAAATATGCAATAAACAATCTAAAGCTGCAGATGGATATTTGTTATACTCTAACACAACCAGTTTAGAATTATATGATGTATTATTTGTCATAATCAATCCCTACACTGTAAGTCTCTTAGAGATGTATGATAAGAAATGGAAATTAGATAATTGAAATTTGTGTCAATCTGTTAATCAAGGCTACCTGATTTTCTTGCATCCTAACCAATTTATGATTATTGAACAATATTTGACGGGCGTATCATGCTGTGGCGGGGCACTTTATTTTTATGTACCTTACAGCATTGTTTTAGATGCTAAAATAGTTGGGTAGTATATTGATTTGTTTCTTAGAATAAGACGGTTCTGTTTTTCTAAATAATGAGTAAATATGAATAATTTTATGCTGTTTACACCAATTAATAAAGGCAATAAAAAGAGTATAATGTATTATTTTCAGAGTATAGCTGTAATTGTCCTTTCTAGCTCTACTGGCCGGTAACCAGAATACTTTATGCATTGGTAAGACGTCTGCCATTCATCTGTCTGTAAGCAATTTATGAAATTGCTGCTCCCCCTACAGTTTTGGTCCAATTTCAATAACAATTGGTTAAGTAAGAAAATATATTAAGATATAATTGTGTGTATTGATTTGATTTGGACGAACAGTTTTGATTTGGTTCTTAGAAATAAAATCGCTCTGAAATTTTTTCAAAACACTGTACTCTGAAAAACAATTTTGATTTAATATCAACAATATTAAGATAAATGATTTAAATTTTCTTTTTTGTTCATTTCTACAAATGATGTTGCCAACCAATTATTTAAAATAGAATTTATTACATAACTCTACTCATCCCGGTCATTTTGTACAGGTATACTAAGATCTTAACTTATATCTTGGATTTTGAAATTAAGAAAGTCATGGTTACTAAAAGTAGAAAGTTCTTTGAAATGCTTTTTGAAATCACATGTTTGTGAAATTCTTTTAAAACTCCAATGTCACAACATTTCTTTTTAGACAAGTAGGTTGTATTAAGATATCTCTTTGTTATAAAAATACACCATAAGAGATACAGTCTCGTCAGAGATATGTTTCCCCCTTTTAAATAGCTAATTATACTACAAAAAGATATCCTAAATTGTAAAAACAATAAGATGTGAAGATGGCGGCCAATGATCTTCCTCAAAGTCCGATTAAACAAAACAAATTATAAGTGGAGAAAACGGACCCCTGAAAATAAGAGGTAGGATCAGGTGCCATGGAGAAGTGATCATCCCTTGTCGACCGGTCACATCCACATGTGCCCCTTGTCATGATCGTGAAAATGGAAGATCTGTAGACAATTAAAAATAATGGCAACCTTCCAATACGTTTGAAAGATGTCAGTAAAACATTGACTAAAGAATATAATGTATATACACCAAGGTTATACTATCGATATCAGAATTTTATAAATAATCTGTCCCTGACTTCGATGTTTTCACTTTTTTGCTGGTCATACTCTTTTAGTGTAGAACAAAATAAAAAATCTGTTTTTGATCCTTCACCGACATGAAAATAAATAATGTAAATAATGTGACTTTAACCCCCCCCCCCCCCCCCTATCAGAATGACGAGGTCATCCCTGAAGGTAGTCACTTAAAGCAGAGAATCAGATTCTTGCAATTTTTAGCTCACCTGAGCCAAAGGCTCAAATGAGCTTTTCTGTTCACATTTTGTCCGTCGTCCGTCTGTCTGTCTAGCTGTCCGTCTGTCTGTCTGTCCGTCTGTAAACTTTTCACATTTTTGACTTGTTCTCAAGAACCACCGGGCCAATTTTGACCAAACTTGGTACAAAGCATCCTTGGGTAAAGTGAAAGTTAAATTGTGAAAATGAAGGACCAAGTCCCCTCACAAGGGGAGATAATCAAGAAAAGACAAAAATAGGGTGGGTCATTAAAAAATCTTCTTCTCAAGAACCACAGGGCCAGAAAAGTTGAAACTTATGTGGAAGCGTCCTGGGGTAGTGTAGATTCTAAATTGTTAAAATCATGACCCCCGGGGATAGGGCGGGGCCACAATGGGGAATAAATTTTTACAATGTTGAATCAAAGCATCCTATGGTAGTGTAGATTTCAAATTGTTTAAATTATGATCAGTTGGGTAGGGTGGGGCCACAATATGTATCACAAGGGGGAAATCTGGTAAAGAACAGAATGTTCAAAGATTCTCAGGTGAGCGATGTGGCCCATAGGCGTCTTGTTTAATTCATTATATTAA